GAATGTTCTGTATTACAGCATCAAACATAACCATCTCCACAGAGGCAATTGAATAAAAGTTATAGTAGTAGTAGTAGTAGTAGTAGTAGTAGTAGTAGTAGTAGTAGTAGTAGTAGTAGTAGTAGTAGTAGTAGTAGTAGTAGTAGTAGTAGTAATAGTAGTAGTAGTAGTAGTAGTAGTAGTAGTAGTAGTAGTAGTAGTAGTAGTAGTAGTAGTAGTAGTAGTAGTAGTAGTAGTAGTAGTAGTAGTAGTAAGTAGTAGTAGTAGTAGTAGTAGTAGTAGTAGTAGTAGTAGTAGTATAGTAGTAGTAGTAGTAGTAGTAGTAGTAGTAGTAGTAGTAGCAGTAGTAGCAGTAGTAGTAGCAGTAGTAGTAGCAGTAGTAGTAGTAGTAGCAGTAGTAGTAGTAGCAGTAGTAGTAGTAGTAGTAGTAGTAGTAGTAGTAGTAGTAGTAGTAGTAGTAGTAGTAGTAGTAGTAGTAGTAGTAGTAGTAGTAGTAGTAGTAGTAGTAGCAGTAGTAGTAGCAGTAGTAGCAGTAGTAGTAGCAGTAGTAGTAGTAGTATTTTGGGATGTGCAGTGAAAAGTGGCGCACACACGCCCTGTGTAATGATGAGGAAATGAGCCGGGGCTTCCATCTGTACACTGCGCTCAGGTCGACCTGCACTGACCCTCAGACCTGTGTTCAAACACCAGATAAAGATCTTGTATAAACATGAGCTGTAAACATGCAGTAGTAGAAGTCTCCACACACACACCCCCCCTCAGACCTGAGAGCTTCTCCTGCTCCTTCACACTGCCACATGTGCACACGTACACACGTACACGTGCTCTGTGTGCAGCTGTGCCAATGATCGTGTGAAGTGGAGGTAACTGAAGGACACTGACCTGGGCTCGTGACAGGATTTAAGAATAAAAACTGTTTTGAATCTTGAATAGATTTATTAGCTCTTGTTTCATCATGATTGTAAATGAGCTCACACTGTACCTGACCTGTGTCCAGCGGACTGACTGATTTGTGGGTCCAGTGACAGTTTGTCCACTCATGTGGAGAAGTCGACTGTTTCCTGAGTCTTTTAACATCAGTGTGTCCCCAAGGCAGCTGTGACTCCCTGTTTTTGTGTTGGAACTCAGTCTTCCTTCATGACCCGCGGCTGCAGAGTTCAATCATCAGTTTGGATCAGTTTAACTCGGCGCATGTCCCGGTGTCCCGGTGCTTGGTAGTCTAGTCTATGCGCCTAGAACTACGCTTAGTGCCGGTGCGCGGTGCCGGTGCGCGCTGGCGGTGCGCGCTGGCAGTGCGCTTAGTGTAACCGGCTTGTCTCTAATCAGATTACGGCTGTGTGTCCTCCGGAGCGTCGCTGTCTGACTCCAGCGGCCGTAAAGTGAACACCTCTCTGGGGACATGAGCTCCGCGGCGGGCATCGACTACAGCGCCTGGGACCACATCTACGTGTCGGACGATGAGGACGCGACCAGTCCGTTCGTGGACACCGCGAGTCTGTTCAGGATGAGACACCGGGTCAGGCGCCTCCTGTCCCCGCGGGGCTGTGACAGTGCGGGCCGCGGGCGGGTGTTTAGGACAGTGTGTGTGCACACGTAGTGTGTGTGGGGACATCCATGTAGAAAGAATCATGTAAACATGTAGGCGTATTCTTACTGTGAGTGGGTTTGCCTCTCCACAGACCTGACCTCTGATCTGGTGGAGGCGTTTGCCTTGTATCCATGGAGATAGACAAGTTTAATGTCTTACTGTGGAACATTGCAGACAAAGAAAGAGATAATATGTCCATGGAGACATGCAGGTGGCGGACCCTCCAGGAGAGGTTACATGGTCTCCATGGTTACTGCTTTGCTGTGGATGTTACACATTGTGGCATTACACTCCTTGCATTTGTTCAGTGACGCGTCTGTGTGTTACTTAAACACACGTGCTCTGCTCCTGTGCTGCACGTCGACTTGGATAAAGGTTTAATAAATCTAGTATTGACACTTTGCAGCTGATGCCATCAACATTACTAACTATAAGCACTGCTCTGTCTGAGGCTGACTTTAATCTGAGCCTGGTTAAACACAATCTGACCATGAAGAGCTGGAACTACAGCAGATTTGTGCTGTTAAATGAATCACTCACAATTAAAATTACAGTCAAAAGCTCGTCATTAGTGTAAAGTCAAACTCCTGAACAGGACCATGAACACTCACACTGATCACAGGCACATGGAAATGTGCTGTTTATGTCATTTTTGTGTTTTTTCAGACAATCTTAAAACTTTTTTTGTCAGTGTCTGCTAATGCATGTATTGTGTGTCTATAGTAACTGCTGAACATTCCACCATAGAGATACATGTAGAACACCCCCAGCCTGATGTTACTGCAAAGTATCAATTTTGGGGCATTCTAGATGAATCCATAATATCTCCATGGAGACAAGCAGGACGCCGACCTTCCACCAGAAAACTCCACACTGCATCTTTAATTGTGTCTTGGGCACGTTCATGACGTG